TTAATTATCTAAGACCAGTTTTTATAATTAGAATTATCAAACCAGCAAGTGATATGCTTGTTGAATAAAAACTCAATTTAAAGGGTCAGGAATGTAATTTTGAAATTGACCTGGGTAATTTGATAGCCCGAAAGGTAATTTAATTCTTAAAAAACATTTCAAAGAGGATTAATTATATGATCTGTACGTAGACGTTGTCTGTTCCTGTTCAATTTTTTTCACATGAATGAAATATTGTTTAAACGAATTAAATGATCATTGAACTGGAGTTTAAAGTTGTCTCTTTAATGCTTTGCAAAAAAAAATTAAAATATCTGGTTTGAATATGAACAAAAGCTTTAAAAAATATTCAAGAATTTTAAAATCTATGGTGATAAAACAAGGGTTGTTTTCATGTTAAGTTGTCACGGTTGTGTTTTTTTTCTGTTTGTCTGATTTGTTTTTTTATGGACTTTAAAGAGCTTACTAATGACTTTAGAAATGTCATTGAGTTCTTTCTAAGAATAAAACTATGCATATATATATATATATATGATCTATTTCAATCATTGCAAATTATTTTCCGATTTTATTCTGGTAGCCACAATTCCAATTTAGAAACCCAGAGCAACTAAAATAAACGGAAAAGATGGGAAAAAGGAAGAGGATGATGGATGTGCGAGGTGACCTTTCATTCGAATTATAATCACGACAATATTTAACCTGACATGTCGACAGATTTGTGCCAACAATATCGACGAGTTCCCAGAGAATTACTCGACACAACTCGATTGTGAGTAGGCCAGGGACGATCGCAGAAATAGAAATTAAAAGAAAGGGAATTAATTAGAAAGTTGTATGAGTATTGTTTACTAATGTGTTTTTGATGCGAGGAGGATAAAACATTGTTTCCAGATGTTCAAGCGAAAACATCTCCGCGCTTCAGAGCTTCAGCGTTGCTTCAGTCCAAATGCTTTAAACCAAAAGGTTTTTGTCGATAATGGCCAAGTCTCGGAGGTTGATTAATTTCTGTGGAATTGTCGTCATCAAGGATGATGGTTATGGATCTGAAGATGATATCTGATATGGAATGTCATTTCTCTTAATCTGGATATTAGAATGCAAGAAAAGAAATTTCATGAGCAGAATAAAAGGGATATGATTAGCGTTCATGTGGGATTCCACAACACTTTATCACAATTTGAATATTTTCGTCTCATAATCACTACCATAATTAGCAATAAACCAGTCATGAGCTCCGATAAGCATCTATAACGTTGAAATGAACGGGAATTGTTGTCATAGCATGAAAACTGCCTTCGAGTTGAGTATCATTTATTCTGTGTTTTCATCTGTGCATAAAATTTCTCCATTATGTCTCCCCCAACCCATAATTATTGGACATACGATCCGATCCGATCTTAGAAGAATGAAAATTTCGATAATCTATCGGGATTTGTCCAAATGTGTGAAGCCGTACAATTCTGACCATTAAACAAATAATCTTGACGAGAAAGTTATTTCTGAGAGAAAACGCAGAATTATTGGGTCGGTAAATGAAATTAGGAGATCAATATGGTTTCTACAGGGTGCTCGCTACACCACGATATTTACAAAAACTTGATTTATCGAAACTAGTAATAAAGACCTTGTTCATATCATCGCGCGTTATGAATAGAAACATTATAACTCAAATCTTTCCTTGATGTGATATCGACAAAAAGATTTAGTATAAAAGAATTTGTCGCGATGCTATATCATGTCTCGAGGTATAATAAGGGATAATTTCTACCAAATATTATTGATGTATTATGGGAAGGGATTTTGGTTGTCTGGTAGCGTATTAAAATAAGGATTAGTTACAGAATGATATGGAGAGAATTAGTTTATGTCAATATTTCCGCTTTACAATTCCGCATTTTTACAAATGGTTCCAGCATTTGTGCTTATTCTACAGATTAGTGGAAAAATCTATATTTTTGTTTCATAAGTTTTCCGCCCATTATTCCACGTCTTTGTACAAATAATTTCTGTTTGAAGTTAGTTAAGCAAGTCATTTTCATCCTTTAGAATCCAGAATTGTTCCAAAATTTGTGCTTGTTCAAGGGATTATCTGAAAATCTATATTTTGGTTTCATACGAGTTTTGTTCTGTGACTTGATGTTTGTTAAGCAAAAAGTTTTCTCCTTATTAGTTCCGAAAACTTGTACCACCACTAGTTCTTCAGCTTACTAGGAATTATTATTTTTGTTCTTTTATCAATATTCCACAGTTCTAATCGTTTTTTACAAGTTGCTTATATTTCAGATTTAAGACCTGGGCAAATTTATATAATTGGCCAGGAACCTCTTTGATATAAGAAGAATTCATATTAACAATGAACTGAAAACTATCGATGCTAAATAACGAAAAAGATAATTGAAATTATGAAATTGAGGAAATTAATGAGATTTTGTTGACTCGTAATAAAGAAAAAACACGAACGCTATAATTATGAAATTGAAAAGTTGTGAAAGTCGAGATCTTGAACAGTTTTTATGAATCAGAAATCCTTATTTGATTAAACACCCTAAAATTAATTTCTAACTTTCTAAAACAGACGAGGGTGTCAAGAGTGTCATGTTATTCATAAATCGAAGAAAAGTTGAATTTAATTACCTCCCTTAGTATGGAATTAAAGACAATATTTAGAAGATGGAGTGATAAATTCTAATTAAATCAAGGCAGTTATGTCAAAGGCATGACAAATGTGAAATTTATTCAAATTAAATTGATAAAGGTCACCAGTTAAACAAAGAACCATTAGCATGAAATTTGAGCCTCTAATGAGAAGAGTATCACTAGGGGAGGTCATTCTTATCTTATTAAAAGATGGGATGGTATAGGTTTCCATAACCTGCTGGTCCCTGTTAAATCTCCTGAGACTTATATTGATACTCAGAGATTCCAAATTGACCAACCCCATGTACAAGTAGAGATGAAACGGAAAATATATTTACCACCCAGGCATTGACCATAACCGAAAATTACTTTCTCCGTGGAAAAATGAGAGATTAATGGACTCGTAGATAAAAATTATAAGAAATAAATGTCGAGGGTGTTTATGAAATGATATAAAGTTTGGTGTCAGAGTTATCTTGGATACTTAAGATAGAAGCTGATATATCATGCTTTAAAATATGATACGCTGAAAAAAAAACAGGTCAACAATATTGAGAAATGTGGGGGATTGTGTTTTGGTCTGAATTACTGGTATGCGAAAGAAATAATTGTGGTTTATTATAACACATACTATTGTTCCTACTTGCTCATTTAAATAATTTTGTAATTATAAATCTTCTGTTTGACACGTTTAAACAATTAGGGACTGCCTCCCCCCCCCACTCTTAATTCCTCCCCCTCTTAGCAATGTCTTATTTGATAATTTTGTAATTAAAAAATAGGCTGCGTGGAATATTTTAACAGTGGAATTGAATCTTGTCTGAGATTTTAACAAATTGTTATATAAATTCCTGGCAGTGTTTATCCCCATATAACTAAAACTTCTTCCCGTGTACACATTGGCATGCACGTAAAAGATCCCTTCGCACTTGGAATTCAATATAAGAATAGGCCATAGTGCCTTGACAGCGGCACTGTACGGCATATGCCTTTCTTCATTAGCCCAGTTCGGAGCACAACAGTAGAACGTTAAACCTCATTGATTTCTTAAACTTCTTTTTAAAAGTCAAAATGTATCGTGTATTAAAATTAATTTCATTTGACAAGCAGTGGTATCGGGTGTTCTAAAAAGAGAAAACAAACATCAACTGCTTCAAGCATGTCTCTTCACATAATCAATAAAATATTCATTTATCTGATAATGAAAACATTCTGATGCTAATTATGGTATTTTTCAAAATGATTTTCATTGATTTTGCAATTAGCTAACAGATAGTCACATATCATTGCCATTGAAATTTCTAGAAATAATATGAAACCTTGATCGCCTGTCATTAAACCCAGTTCCAGCCCGTATATCATGAATTTATTCTTTTTGTTTTACCAATCAGAAAAGATTGGAACATATTTATTATTTTGTGCCAGGAAGAATAAAGAGTTTTTAAAGATCTGTTTTTATTGAAAAAACAGACAACAGACAGAAGAAGAAAAAAATTGTGATGAGCTTGACTTACATAGTTTATGTTTTATTTAGATCAAAACATAAAAGAATTTTTGCGATAAAACTTTTGTTTTCAACATCAGCAGATATCAATTACAAATCATAGCGAAGCCTCTTCAAATTGGGGAAATGATAAAGAGGCTAATAGATAGTCTTTCAACATGGTGCGATCTACTATATCCTTACTTCCAAAATGGCGGCTTGCCCGAGTAGTGTAGATAAGAATCTCTTCTCTGAGCATATGTCGGGTTATTTTTAGCCCAGTTAATGAAACAGTACCACAGAATTCCTTTAAAAAACAGAATTTGATCAAATTTCTTTCCAATGCTGGTTTTGTCTAGGTATGTCCAGCTGTTTCTATGTGTCAGCCATCATGGCCCACCAGCAGTGGCAGACGCTATCAGGCAACCATCTTGGATAATTAACAAATTTGACGAATTGTATCACTCATCATCAAAAATAAATTGACAAGAATTACAAACGACTTTTTTAGTGGATTGCCAACAGATTTATAAAAAACAGGAATGCAAGTTCCTGTGAATAGTTTCAGAATTTAGTTGTAAATTTTTCTTTAATTTCCTTTTAATTGGCTTTGTACATGTTTCTGTGTGTGTGCATTGCCAAAATAAAGACAATGTGTTTAAAAATGATGGTTCTTTTCTTGTTAGATTTAACAAGATTGCTATACTTTAAAAAATTTCTAAATCATTTAAACTATTTGTGGAAATTAACTTATAATTTCAAATTTTAGAATGATAGTTTTACAAAAACTAAAAACATTCTAAATAATTTGAAATTTTTCTGATTAGTATAACAAAATTTCTAAATTTATCTCACTCTCTTTTTTTTCTGATTTCAGTTCTTGAGCGTGCTCAGTATGCTAGCGATGACCCGTTTTTTAAACACAAGTGTCGATTCTGTCACAAGGTGTTCGGAAGTGACAGCGCTCTACAGATACACGTGCGTTCACACACAGGTAAATGACCTTACATTATTTTTAGGGTGTTTCGATTCCCCGATTGTATGTGAGTGACAAGGGTCGTCTAACCAACCTCATGGATTTCCTCTGGGTCCTCTGGTTCCTCCCACCACTACGCGCATATTATTTTTAGCGTGTTTCGATTTCCTGATTGTATGTGAGTGACAAGGGTCGTCTAACCAACCTCATGGATTTCCTCTGGGTCCTCTGGTTTCCTCCCACTGCTACGCGCAAGTTAATTATTAAAATCATATGTTAGTCCCAGAATAACCTAGTCTGTGTCAAGTGGATGTTAAAACCAATTTCTTACATTGAAATCATATGTTAGTCCCGAAATGACCTAGTTTCTGTCAAGTGGATGTTAAACCCAATTTCTTACATTGAAATCATATGTTAGTCCCGAAATGACCTAGTTTGTGTCAAGTGGATGTTAAACCCAAACTCTCTCTCACTATCGTATATATTAGATAAACAATTTGTTATATTTAAGTTCATTCAGACTATTCAAATAAAACATATATGAAGTTACTACGATATACTGAACAAGCCTATGAATCAGTCATCCAACTTATAATACTATATTAGCCATCTTACCACAATAACCACCCATTACCATATATGGACATTGTTTAATCCAGTCATATAGATATGTAATTTTTTTATGAATTAAATCCGATTTATCTGAAAGGAATAACAAGGAGAAATCGTCCAATTAAAGAGCCAAGAACAAATGTTAGGGTCAAATAGGGGACAATCTTATGTACACGTTGAAGTATGACAGCGATATCCCTTTTTTAAAATCTGAACCCTAGGTCGATGAAGTTCTTTTTATGAGTGGGTTAATATTTAGTTGAGGGGGTGGACCCTGTGAAGAAAGTTGAATTGTAAACATCAAAAGCCCAATTAGTTGACAATATGTGAAACAAATTATAATATAGCTTTATATATATATATATATATATATATGGTTATATGCGGTGACAGTGCACGCTGGTGCTAATGTAAACTTTACGATAAAAAGACTATTGTGACGATTAGTTCATAATCATAGAATCACAATTAATATTGACTTTAAATTTGGGAAAAACTTCTTGATATGTATTTGATACTAACAAGATACCCAACTTCGCTTGGAGCTCAAATTTGCTGATGGGTCCTAATTTGCCCGGGCTCAAATTCACTTATGGTCCCAATTCGCCCAGGGCCCACATTCGCTAGGTTAATTGGATACCACATATGTGGGGGTGCAGATCATAATAAAGCGTTATTTGCCCAGGGCCCAGGCCCAATTTCACCCAATTCATAACCATTAGGATTGGCTTTTAATTTGGTAAAATTCTGTTTTGAAATTGAACAGTTTTTGTTTGCTTGATAGTTGTAATAGGGAAGCCTCCATGGTTGAAATATTCATGTTAAAATCACTGACGAGTTTTCTGCTGGACATAAATTACAATTCTTAATAGTTTGAATGGGGGAGCAGCCATGGTTGAAATATTATTGTTAAGATAATTGTAAAATCTTTTTTTTCTGGACAATTATAGTTCTGACTTTATACATGGAATATTTTGTTTGGCTGTTAATTTGCCTGGGTGATCTGTAAATGGCTGAGGGGATGTATGGCTTATTATTTCAACATTAATTTGCTGTGTTTATATTCAGTTTTTTTGTTTAAATTGGCTGGCACAACTTCACAGACACGGAATCAAAAACAGTAGAAGAAACAGAATTTATTCCTAATATAAATATAACTTAATATTGTTGTTTCTGTAGATTTGGCTTCAATCGACAGGAATTTCTGACGTTCTTTTTTAATACTTTGTTTCAAGTGATAAATCGTGACTTTTGTTTTCATCTTAAAATGTCTTTACATTATTCAAATTCCTTTAAAATGTAGAATTTGGCTTCAACTTGGAAATTTGAAACTTTTTCATTAATCATTGAAGTTTATCACAAATCTAACAACATTTAGTGACCGGTCTTGTGAAAGGGACAGAATATGCTTAATCTGGATACTTTACATTTGGAACGGAATTCATGTTTTTCACAATTAATAACAAGTATTGTGCAAGAGACAGAATATGCATTGTGTGTCCAGGACTTTAAAATAAAATAAAAATATGTTGTTCAACCCATTTTAATTTAGAATAGTTCTGGAAAAAAATAAAATGGCATATTTTAAACTATTTTAATCATTTTCAAATTGCAAAGAAACAAAAAAGCAATTGAAAGTTTCGATGACCACGATCCTGCACCCTAGCCTAATCAGACATCTTGTAAATGTCAAACCAAGGTAGAAAATAATTGTTATTTAGATCGCATTGACTGGGATTTATTTACAAAACCTTAAAAACAATTTATAAGTATGACGTTTTGAAAGATTAAAGACCGCTGTATGTGTTTTAAGTTTACTGTGTTTTTTCTGACGCCTCGATGAATATAAATGTCATTGCCAGTCGCCTTATTTGAAAGTATTTCTCATTTTAGTGTAATTACGTTGAAAATACCATAGCTTGGGTCAAAAAAAAATCAACGAATGATTAGCCATGAAGAACATATTTTTTGCGACACCTTAAAAATAAACAGTTGAAAATTTCAGCCGCCCGAATAACTGAAGAGTCTCTGCTTTAAAAATCTTGATTTTATTTTTTATTTCGAACGCGAGAAAAAAATAAGATGATTGAATAAAAGTTAACTGAAGTAGTTGACGTTTGTCTGCTGAGCGCAATGATTAATTGTCAGTTTTTCACATTTTTCGAATAATTCTTTAGAATTTATCGTGGTGCGTCTACGTGCAAGAGTATGATTGCAGGAAGGTTTTTATATGATCACGTTTAATTGGTAAAATGGAGGACAAGTAAACAATACTGATCCAATCCCTTGTTAGCTTACACCTTTCTCATACTCGACCTGAACAAAAATTACAATTTTCACTTCCTTATTGAACATTTATGTAATTGAGGTTGTTATACTTTTGACAATTTATGGTTCCCCACCCCCCCACGGTTCCTATCCCAGTAGACAGATTCATGGTTTACCCCTAGATCCTATCCCAGTGGACAGATTCATGGTTCCCCCCTGTATCCTATCCCAGTAGACAGATTCACGGTCCCCCCCTATATCATATCCAAGTAGACAGATTCATGGTTTCCCCCAAGATCCTATCCCAGTGGACAGATTCATGGTTTTCCCCTTGATCCTATCCCAGTGGACAGATTCATTGTTTTCCCCCTATATCGTATCCTAGTGGACCAATTCTTGTTTCCCCCTAGATCCTATCCTAGTTGACCAATTCTTGTTTTCCCTAGATCCTATCCCAGTTGACAATTCTTGTTTCCCCTATATCCAATCTCAGTAGACCAATTCATGGTTTACCCTCTAAATCCATTTTCAGTGGACCAATTCTAATGGAACGATAAACTTGGATTTACAATGGAAATCTCCTTCTCTTAAAGTTTTACATTTGAAAGTACCTACATGTATTGGTGCATCTACGTATTGTATCTATCCGTGACCTTCGACCTTACATAGTTAATCAGTACAGCTTAGCGTAAAAGATGTTGATCACGCCTTTCTTAATACCCCGCGACCTATACAATCTTAGGTTTTTATTTCTAATGTCAATACACCTGGCTTCGTCATCCAGTATTCTAACATCTTCTTCAATTATTATTCATTTAGTCCCCTTTTTCTCTCTTTAAAAAAAAATCATTCGGGGAAAGAAAATCATTTGTCAAAAAAATTAACATTTCTTAGGGAGCTAAATGTTACAAAACTGGTAGCTTTTTGTAAATTGTTCCTCTGTATACGTGATGGTGTGTAGTCCTTCACACAATACCAAAAACATTTGTAAATTGTTCCTCTGTATACGTGATGGTGTGTAGTCCTTCACACAATACCAAAAACATTTGTTTTGGGAATTAAGAAGATATATCCAGGTCTGAATACCAAAGTACCATTGGAATGTCTGCCACGCTCCCCACCCCACCCCCAAAAATTGAAGTGGCATATCGGGTGTTCTAGAAAAAATGGTAATAAGTTTTTGTCTGCCTCATGCATGACACCTGGCACTAACGAGAGTTGTACCTGATCTGGAAATCACTTCCTCAGTCAACTAATCAGAGGGGAAAAAACACCTTTTATTAACCCCTGGTTAGGTGAGGTCATCAAGGAAAGACTAACGCTTGTCACACGATTATTTAAAGACACGATCACTCCCGGAGGATTAAAATAAAAACAAATAATTTGAAATAGGATGTAGATTTGAAAACACCGATAGGATGATAACGGAATTTTAATCATTTCATGTAAATAACATCGATTCGAGATGTACTGATCACGAATTCATTTCTTAAACGCGGGTCCTGTTTCTTCTGCCTTAGTTATATCATGACAAATTCTTCCTTCCATCATTCATTCGTTTCTTTCTTCATGATAAAAAAAATTGTCCTGATTGTTTGATTTGTGCAGATGTACTTACCTATTTGCTTACAGTTTTAATCCTGTTTAAATTCCACGCGGAAAAACTCATTATATATTGTTTGTTTCGTGCCGGTTTTGTTTGTTTTTCGAAATATTTCACTGAATTTTAAATAATTGTACTTTTCCAGTCCAGGTTTGAGTTTTTGTAATGTAATTATTTCATGTATCTAATATTTATTTAAATATATGGAGGAGGAATGTGAAAGACCCTTTTGTTAATAAACTAGAATTAGAGTATTTCATTAAACAAAATTTCAATTTTATATTTAATCTTGAAAGGGTATAAAAAATTAGAATTATTAACAACTTTTAAAATATGAATGGATAAAAGAATATTATATGTGCATGTTATTCGTGATTCATTCGAGGCTGTGGTCTTAGCTTGAATTTAACCAAATAGAGAGGTCGGTCCCCGAATTTATGATCATTAATTGTTTGAAGATTTTACTTTTATAGTAGGTGGCACAGCTAAGTTTAGGGCCAGGGGTCTGTTTCACGAAATTTTAACTGAGATAAAA